GGCATCTGAGTAGATAATGTGCCCAGCCAGCATTTGTCCTTCTGCACAGTGGAAAATGTCTTATTTTCATCTTGTCTAGTGATGCTGCTGCCCAGCAACTAGTTTAGGTCAGCAAATTGCTTATTGCAAGTAGGTTAATGTTTTTAAATTAAAGTGTGTACTGTGATATAATTTATGGAAGAAAAAAGCAAAACAAAATTTTAATCTAAAAGTATATCCTATATTTTTAAATTTTTGCTTCCTTTTGAAAAGCGTTTGGATAACTTTTAAAAAATGGATAGTTATTAGGTAGCAGTATATTGCTATTAAAGATGGGGAAGAGCCTGGTATTTAGTGGAACAAATGTCTCTTCCTAAAGGACACGAGAAGTCCTACAACATCAAACGAAAGTTCATCATTTTTCATCAGTTTCCTGCAGTATCAGACAAAGTGCTTTTAGGGAGATCCATGTTTAAGGAATAAAGGCAGAAACCTGTCCCTGCCAATTACTGTAATCAGTATTCACTATCATATTCCCTATGTATGTACTTCTAATACCCTCACTATTAACCAGCTACTTGTATTACTGGTCACTATTTTAGAAGTTCCACAATCCTCTGCAGTTATTTGGATGATCATAGTCTAGAACACAGGTCCCTAAACCCCAGGCCACTGCCCACTACTGAGCCTTGAGCTTTTTAGAACTGGGCCGTGGAAGTGTGGGGCAAGCACACACATTCATGCATGTATCCCCACTCATGCGGGCAGCAGGTGAGTGTGAGCGGCATGTGTGCATGTGCACTACCACCTCTCCCTGCCCCTCCGGTCAGAGGTGGGATGTTGCTGTTTGAGAGTGGCCTGAAAACAGGCCAAAAACCAGGTGGGGGCTGAGCCAGCCAGTGATGGGATTAGCCCCAACCAGCTGAATCCTACCTTTGCCTTTGAGGTGAGTGGTCGGGAGGCGGGGCTGGGTGTGATGAGTGATGTCACCCACCCAGTCACATGACCAACTGGCCACACCTACCCAGCCAGAAAACCGGTTAAGTTGTTCCAATCCCATCACAGCCTCTGGTTCACAAAGCCAAAAAGGTTGAGGAACTCTGGTCTAGAAAATATTGCCTCTCTTTTTTTTTCTCTCTTCTCAATTTTAAAAGATGTTTTTCTAATGGGCAGAATACGACTTGGGCATCTAGCCAGAAAAATATAAAGAAAAACATTTAAAAATAGAGGCTACCAATTGTAAGTACATAGTATGTCCAGGTTTTATGCAGATATTTATATTTTTAAATGATAGGGCATATAATAAACCACCTACAGTAGCCCCATGGTGAGATGAGCAACAAATAGATTTATTAATAAAAAATATTCATTATTATGTTAACTAAATCCTTTTGATTCCACTAGAACATTTTGTTAGATTTAATGAAGATTCAGAAAATATAATTCTCACATTTTTTCAGCGTTATCTCTGTTCATTTTAATGGATTGGCTTTAATAGCTTTAATAAATACAAATCTGGTTATAGACTATGTAAAGAAAATGTTCCATTTACAATCATTTTTTTGATATTTAGTCCAGTTTTGTTAAAATATTTTTGCTTTCTGGACATTGTATTCATTGTAGATAGATTAGATTATAGATAAAATTAGATTGAATGATGAAATCTGAAGTTCTGAGAAAATTCTATATTACGTCTAATCTAATTCTTAGATACATAGCTTATTAAAGATCCTTTGTTAAATTCAGCATTATGAGCTGTGCATTTCATGGAGAAGTTATTGCTAGGTAATGAAATGTCCATACCGCTATCAAAATGCAGAGTACAACAAGCTCTACCGTCCTCTGTTCAATGTGCAAATGGTATAAAAAGGTGTTCAAGTTTACTTTTCTTTGTTCCTCTCTCTCCCAATAATCATTTTTAGTCGTAATCATTACATTAGTATTAACTGTAGCTTTTGGAATGCCTTGTGAACTGAAGTTTCTACAAACAATTTTTGTTATTAATAATAGAGAAAGAAATAATTTAGAGTTGAACTAGGAATGTGGAGACATGAGTGCAGAGAAAATGAATAAAAAAGGAAATGGACTGGCAAATGTGAGACTAATATCAAAAAGTTGTAAGCATTTAGCAGCATGAAAAAAAATGTTTCTAAAACAGAAAATGTGTTTTTGAATTCTATTTACAGGAGAGGTAACACCAGGATTATCACAAGTGGAATATGCTCTCCGTAGACACAAGTTGATGGCTCAGATACAGCAAGAGGTGCATGGGACAAATCACACAGTAATTCTGCTTTCAAATCCTACCTATTATATGAGCAATGATATTCCATATACCTTTCACCAGGACACTAATTTCCTATATTTGTGTGGCTTCCAAGAACCAGATAGTATCTTAGTGTTGCAAAGTGTGCCTGGTAGATCTTTGCCATATCACAAAGCTTTACTATTTGTTCCAAAACGAGATCCAAGCCGAGAGTTATGGGATGGGCCACGATCTGGCACGGATGGAGCAATGGCTCTCACTGGTGTAGATGAAGCATATACCATGGAAGAGTTTAGACATCTGGTATCTAAATTAAAAGGTATGAAAACAAAATAGATTTTGCACTGTATGAAATAGGATGATATTGAATCATTTCAGCAATTTGCTGTCAAGTAAAGGCATAAAAGAGAGGAGATAGAAAGCTGGATTCATGCACTGCATTACAGGTAGTCCTCAACTTATGGCCAGTTGCTGAATGCCCAAAATACAGTCATGTAATGGGTGGGGTGGGTGTCAGAACTTCAAATCCAAGATGTAAGTACATTTTTGGGGGGGAGTTGGTCATAACTTTGAACAGTTAACCAGTCGTAAGTTGACAACTACCTGTAAGTCTTAGTATGAGTTGGATTCGCCTTAATATTTGAACCCAACAATTGTGGTTCATAAAATATGGTTCATGGTAGGCATGTTATGTGAATTGCACATCAATTATTCAGTGACCTATAACTAAGGAAATAATAACTTCATGTGAGAAGTTTAACTCAATTAAAATCTTGCATTCCTAGTTTCATAAATGCCTTTATAGGAAAAAAAAACCCTCAAAAATAATAATTTCAATAGAAAGGGGAGCAAATTTATTTTTGGATTTTAATGCAAATATTAACATGCAAAGTTCATATTTTCTGAAACTATATGCCACCTGAAAAACAGTATAAAGTGCCCAACTAAATATTATTTGATTGAAAGTTTACATTTCAGAAACACATACAAATGTTTATTTAACATTATTTCTAGGTTGCCCCAATCCCAAACGGCCTTCTAGATCATGGGTATATTTTAGGGCAAAATTTGTAAAAATTATGAATAGAGACAGACAGGCTTTGGAGAGTCTTACTTTGCCCAGTCTGTAGCCACATGATAGCTGTTATGCAATAGTGAAAGTCTCCTAAGTTTGTTGGGCTTATATATATTTGATACTTGTAAATTACACAGAAGAAATGATTACTACAGAACTGTAATTAATTTTATTGGTCTTTTGTTCCAAAGAGAACATTTAAGTTCTTCTTTCACAATTCCTTTAAGAAATTTTGTAGTAGAGTCATGTATATGTGCAACATATTGAAGGTGGTAAGTAAGAGGGTTAGTGCACAAAAGAAAATAGCTGTCCATGCACAAGGCAACAAAAATAATTGAAAATAGCTTCTCAATTAGCTACTTAATTTGGAAACTGTTGCTTTAATAGTGCGAAAGTATATGCTTCCAACTTTTTCAAAGGATTTGCATAGTCCTACTAGGTATTTCATTTAGGGTGCATTCTTAAAACACTTAGAGTGTTAAAAACATTACTTCTATGTCTACACGAATGAGAATGTATTCTGAAAAGAAGAAGCTTTGTTAAATTACGGTATAGAGATTCATAACCATGGAAGTGGCTCCAAAGTCCTATCAAAAGATATTGCTAATCTGAAATCTTTAATGCAATGGAAGTGGACAATATTAAATACTATAGGAATAACTAATAGTTTTATTAAGTCAATTGAGAATAACTAATAATTTAATTCAATTAATTTATATTAACTCTAGTTTAAATTACTTTATATATTTTATCTCCTCCATTTTTGCAGTGCAATTCTTGGCACTCTGTTCAAAGACCAAGTACAGTTCTTGATCCAAAAGAATTATACTTATTCAAATGTACTTGAAATCTATTTTTTTATATAAAAGATGATGCACTGGGAAAACACATGCCCTCTTTACTCAGTTAATTTAGATCCATATCTTTGTTTCTAAGGCGCTGATCTGTTAGTGGGTTACACTTCATCAATATTTCTTATTACTGATTCCTTTCAGGCAGGTTTAAAAACACTATAAAATAAAAGTAACATCTCTTATTAAGGATTCCAGTATTGATTTGAATAGTTATCTAAATTTGGCTGCAATCTGACATTTACCAAAAATACGCAAACATCTCTCCAAAGAAGAGCATAGTTAATTAAACTTAAAGTGTAACTATATTCTGTTTCACAGATGATTCTAGCACAGTTTGGTATGATGTTGCTAAACCTGTGCATCCACAGCTCCATTCTGATTATCTGCTGCATCTGGCTGAGGTAAAAGCTAAACACAACAACCGTGTTCGAGCTGTCCGGCATCTAGTGCAAAACTTACGGCTGATCAAATCTGCCACAGAGATTGAGAGGATGAAATTTGCTGCCAAAATCACTTCACAGGTATCGATCAAAGCATTTATGTTGCACAAGGTGTTAAGAAACAAAAAAGGCATGATATTGGAATTCATGCCAAAAGGAAAATGACACGTAGATATAGCTGGCATCTTTCTACTAGGATGTTTCTGTAACTGATGCTGATTATTTATTCCAGAAATAAAATATGGGGTCCTTCTCCTTGGAAAGCCTTCTGTCAACAAGTACCACTGTAGTTTCTTATGTTTCACATAATAAGATTATCATCATAGAAGTTAGTGTGACAAATACCAGTGAGGAAGAAATCAAACATACCTGAACACTTTCCATAATACATCATAATCCAAAGTGTACATTTACAGCAATGATCCAATTTATATTGCATCCCAATATGGTACATTCACCTCCTCAACCAGCTCTTCCTCACTGATTAGAAATCAGATTAGGAGACCTGATCCTCTTGTCTCATCTTTTGGAAAATATAATGATATTTTGGAAACTTAACATATTAATTAATAGTTTTTATTGCTGCATTTCAACAGGCATTCATAGAGACTATGTTTACAAGTAAAGCACCAGTGGATGAAGCATTTCTATATGCTAAGGTATGTGCTTTTTTGCATTGTGGAAAATAGTCCTTCACTGTAACCTGACAGCCAGTTTTTAGGTTATATTCACATGTGATGTGTATGCTGACATAACATGTGATAGGTTTCTATTAATCATCATGTGCTTAATTTAGAACTATTAACAAAAAATTATTACTAAAGGAGAACATCAAGAGAGACACCAGGATTTTAATAAAGTGTAGAAAGGATTTATTAACAAATTGCCTCAGTACTTACAGATGGTAAATCCCATTGAACTTGATAAGATATCCTTTTGAATAGATTTGTGTAGCGGACTACTGATAGCCTTTCATCTGAACAATGAGAGAATTTTGCTCTTCAGCACTTCCTGAACATTATCTTTCCTTAAGAATACCTGTTATAAAAGTGAAATATCAAGGAAAAATAGTGCAAATGCAAAGTGTTAATGTATTTGCACATTTTAATTTAGAGGTATTTTCCCTATAAACATTCTCTTATACATATATAGTATCTAAAAATATATTTTGGTTCTAATTAACAGTTGAGAGAACCAACAGCCACCCCCTCAAACGTAATGACAATGTGAGAATAAGTACAGATTAAAGTCTCTTCAAAGGAACAAAATTGAGTAGGAAATACAGCCTACAAAAAAAATTAATGTGGTTAGTACCTCCTAGTGTTTCATGTTGTTTTCATTTAGTAAAAGAAATTCTTGCCTGGTTTGCTGCTCCTAAGAAACCAATATTTGTCTATGGATATGCACCCAGATCAAGATAAATATAGGTACAGGGAGAAAGATTGGGCATAGAAGCACGCAAGAAAAATTACCTTTGATTTTGCTGTTTCAAAACAATCACCAAGTTCTTGGGAGTTTTTTCCTGAAAAAAATAGACATGTTATACTTTTTGCTTCCCATAGCGTACTAGGTTTCTGTATTCACATTCTGTAGGAGAGAAGAGAAATATATGGCTTTTCAGATGGTGTTGAACAACAAAATTCCTCTCCACTAATTCCAATAACTGAAGCTGTTAGGTATTTTCCTTAAGCAGTAGCTTGCTCTGTGGATTGATATATATATATTTCCTTCAAGGAACTAAAAATACCTTTTATGTGGTTGATCATTTTTTTGTCCTCATAGCAAACTATGATGCAGATCCATTAAGTCCTTACTCACCAACAGTAATTGGGACCATACTTTCTATTGCTAAGTGATACAGTTGTAAAGCACAATGACAGATGACTTTGCTGCTTAACAATGGAAATTGTGGCATTTTCAGTTGTTGGTAAGTGAATCATCGCAAGTCATTAAACAAGGATGTCATGTAGTCCCCTTTTGTGAACTCCTGCCAGCTTCCCCATTGACTTTGTTTGTAGGAAGTTGGCAAAGAAGGATGCAAATGGTGATTACGTGCCTGCAGTGATACTGCAATTGTTATAAGTACGGTCATAAGTACCATTCATTCCTGCACTGTTGTAAGTTTGAAAAATCATGAATGATTGTTAAGCGAGGACCACCTTCCTATTCAAACATACAGTGTATCCCATATATTTTGCTACTTTGCTAGCTCAAGTATGGGCATTGGCAGAACCTTTGTGAGAAAGGGCTTGGATAAAAGCTGTGCATTTATTTCAACAATTAATGGATTATTTTATTTCCAGTTTGAATTTGAGTGCCGGGCTCGTGGTGCTGATATTTTAGCTTATCCCCCTGTGGTTGCTGGTGGCAACAGGTCCAATACCTTGCATTATGTGAAAAACAATCAACTTATCAAGGTAACTGAATGAACGCTGCAATATAATAGCATTATTATCTACTGAACCGCTCCAAAAGAAATAAATCAAGATTCACTGCTGTAATATATTAACTAAGCCATTTAAGAAGATTGGAATGAAACTACAGTTTTAAGAGAGGATATAATCCTGTTTCTGAGTACCTTCTTAAACTGAGTAGACCATAACCAGTTCTACTGCATTCTAGTGTGTTTCTGACTGTCCTATATTTCTAAAGGAAAAAATGTACTTCCTCATTCTATGGAGTAGAACAAAGAAATTTAGGAATAATTTTACAGTGTACTGCATATGAATCTTTTAACGAGGAAATATGGGGATTTGTATAAAGAGTATAAAAGCAATCTACCTTTGGACAGGCATGGCCCCCAATAATATCTGCTACTACTCATATGAATTGGTTGATTTGTTTCATGAGAAAAATGAATTTTTCAGGCAGCTTTCTCTTCGCCTCCTTCCCCACCAATGTGCTTGATGAATATGACCAGTATTGGCCAATAAAAGTGGGTGCAATTAAAAGATAGTACTTAAATGAAAACACAGCAACAGCTATTAAGTTAGATCAACTTTCTCATTTTGGCACTTTTCTTTGTGCTGGACTGACAGTTATTGGATTACAGAAGATAATAATAATAGTAATAATAATATAATTTGTCACCTCTTCTGTTCATCATCGCCATGACCCCCCCGTCAACAATTTTACAGAAAACTAACCTGGATTATCAAACTGCTAAAAATTCACAAAAAATCTCTCACCTGCTGTACATGGATGATTTGAAGTTATATGGAAAATTAGAAATCGAAATCACAGTTACTGACCAATACAGTTCGAATTTTCAGCACTGACATCAGCATGGAGTTCGGCCTGGACAAATGCGCCACAGTGGCACTGAAGAAAGGAAAAACCGTAGAAAGTGATGGAATCAAAATGCCCAATGGACAAACCATCAAGTGCCGCCAACCTGAAGCCTACAAATACCTGGGCATACTGTAGCTGGACAATGTCAAGCATGGGCAAGTGAAAAATGTGGTCAGCAAAGAATACACACAGAGGGTCAGAAAATTCTAAAAAGCAAACTGAATGATGGTAACACCATCAAAGCTATAAATACCTGTGCCATACCCATCATCAGATATACTGCTGGGATCGTAAACTGGGCACAGGCAGAGCTGGACAGCCTAGATAGGAAAACGAGAAAACCGATGACCATACACTATGTGCTACACCCACGTAGTGATGTTGACAGGCTATATTTGCGCAGAAAAGCAGGCGGCAGAGGACTTTTGCAAGTGAAGCAGACAGTTGAAGAAGAGAAGAATGCTCTGGCAGATTATGTGAAAGAGAGTGTTGAACCAGCTTTGATGGAGGTCAACAATAAGCTGCTCAAAGTGCAGCAAACCAAGAATCAATACAGGAAACCAGTGATGCAAACTCGGGCTGACATCTGGTGTAACAAAGCACTGCATGGACAGTTCATTAAAAAGATCCAAGGAAAAATAGATAAGGAAAAGACCTGGTTATGGCTTACCAACAAAACACTGAAGAAAGAGACAGAAGGCCTGATTCTTGCAGCCCAAGAACAAGTCATCAGAACGAATGCATTCAAAGCCAGAATAGAAAAATCTACTGATGACTTCCAAAGAAGGAGGCCAAACCATTGATCGCATACTGAACTGTTGCAAGAAAATCGCTCAGACTGACTACAAACAACGTCACAACACAGTCACTCAGATGGTCCACCAGAACTTGTGTCACAACTACCATCTGCCTGTAGCAAAGAACTGGTGGGATCATAAGCCTGAAAAAGTGGTCAAAAATGAGCATGCAAAACTACTGTGGGACATCCGAATACAGACTGACAAAGTTTTTGAACACAATACCCCGGATATCATGATTGTGGAGAAGAAAAAAGTGTGGATAGTTGACATTGCCATACCTGGTGACAGCAGAATCAACAAGAAACAACTTGAAAAAATCACCAGATATCAAGACTTGAAAATTGAACAGCAGAGACTCTGGCATAAACCAATGCAGGTGGTTCCAGACGTACTTGGCACACTGGGTGCTATGCCAAAGACCTAGGCAAGCACTTAAAAACAATTGGCACTGACAAAATCACATGTGATGACCCAGGGTGGGATACAAAAGCAACAAAGTCACAAAAACAAGTGATGTCCCTTTAATTCCTTCAACTTGGCTTCACTTCAATTATCAATGACTGGAGAAAAAACTCCCCCACAAACAGTTGCGAAAAGGAAGAACTTCCATTCAAACTCAAAATACATATAAATTATAAACAGGAAAAAACAACACAAATCACACTGAAGCAATTAATGAGACAAGGCAGGATAAGGCCTTGAAGACATACACAGATATCAAAATACACACACTGGGAAGGAAGCCAGAACTCGGATAAGAACTGACAAACTAGACATATTTTCATGCTTTGCTTCCAGCACTGGCCCATGCGCAGTTTGTCCTTTTAAACAGGCCTCACAGCTGCAGCCCATGAAGGCAATCAAGGCTCTTTCCTCCCCCATAGACCACGCCATTCACATTTCTGCCTTATCCGCTCCTTCCTGCGTGCCCTAGGATGAAGAGGGGATGGGCCTGGGTCTTCCTCTGAAAGCCCAGCTGGCCTGTGCCATTCCCCATTTTCCTCCACAACCTCCGGACCCACACTCCCACTCTCTGTCGGCTGTTCCTTCTCTCCCTCAGATTCTAACGGGTATGACATCACCATTGGTCAGCTGCAGAAGGCCACCTTACTGGGATCTGCGCGCATAATCCGCCGATACATCACGCAGTCCTAATGATTTGTGATACGAAACCCAGCATAGTTATCTCGTTTGCTGTGTACACTGTCATTTTTGTTAATGTTAATAATAATAATAATAATAATAATAATAATAATAATAATAATAATAATAATAATTAAAAAACAACAACTACCTGGGTCTTTGGTTAGGACTTGAGCTGTTGAGCTACCAACCAGCCCCAAAGGCTGTGAATCTCACTAAAGATTAAATAATATTAATAATATGATTTTGGAAAAAGAAATCATGTGTTATCCCAATTGTAATTGGAGCCCTTGGAGCAATACCCAAAGGGCTACCTCCACTATTTGGAAATTCTGACTTTATCAGATTTGAATACCCTGATTCTACAAAAAACCACCCTACTTGGAACAGCTTATATCCTCCAACGCTAACAGTTCCTAGGTCCTTGGTTAGGACTCGAGCTGTTGAGCTACCAACAAGCCCCAAAGGCTGTGAATCTCAGTAAAGATTAACTAATAATAATAATAAAAAAAAATAAGAGTGATGGAAAGTGTTAAAATAAGTTGAACATCAAAGCTTGCAGAGAAGGACAGTGCACTATAACTATAAAAAGCTACACTCTGCTGAACTATTTGATGAAAAAGCAAATGTAATTTATCTCACTAAGGATAAATCCAGGTTTGTTTGTTTGTTTGTTTTAAAAAAACTATACTGTTTAAATGAAATTCTTAAGTGCCAAGTAATTGCTTTTTCTTATGCTCCAGGATGGAGAAATGGTTTTATTGGACGGAGGGTGTGAATACTCTTGTTATGTGAGTGACATTACCCGCACTTGGCCCATCAATGGCAGGTAGGTCCTGTACCCAGCAAAGAAACATCAAGTTGGTTGCAGTTTTTCTGAAAATGTTTCATTATTGTGATTTCTTCATTTCATTATACTTCAGAATAATCCTTGCCAACACTGTAATTGCAGTTTTTAGTGCAATGTACTACAGGCATCCTGCTTCCCCTGCTCTAGAGTTGAGATATGCTTTGTGGTACTGCAAAACCAGATAATTCAGAAAAGTTTGCATGTCATTATTTCATTTCAGAATGTTAATGGCAAAATATTATTTATCAATTTCACTGATATTTTCCAAGTTAAAATTACAGAAAGATTTGAAACGAGGTGTTCAGGTATGCAGTTTTCCACCAACATTTTGGACTAGAACAAGCCCAAAGGACTGTGCTGCATAATTGTTTTGTACATGCATCTTAGCATTTAATTTTTTGCTTTTCTTTCTGCTTAAATCTCACTTGAGCTGATTTGTGT